CGGAACCTTGTACGGCGTGATATAAAACTTAACAGGAATGTCAGTTAATCCATATACGCGCGGGTTCCTTGTCAAACGTTGTTGTGGAGGACTGTCGCAATCCTTTATGACGACGGATAAATGTATAATATGTAAATCAGCGGCTACCTAAGCGATACGGACACCGAAGGGGGAATTCAATGTCGTTTGCAAATAGTTTTGTACGTGTATAAGTGTAATAACTACAATGTATAGCGCATATCGGTAGGGTCGATTTCGTGCAGGCGAATAGTGTCTTGCGTAAAAAATAAACGAATGCACGATCAGACCTTAATAATAATGTGATACGAAGCGAGGGGTACGAATCGCGCGTCGAAATAATGATCAACAAGACGACAACACAAGTGCGAAATATGCATAATACGCACGCAGATAACCATGGATAGGGTGAAATTAAACGGGAGCGTTATGCAAAAAAAGCTATATGTACCTATCTATAATGCTACTCTAATAGGTGACTAGTGAAAAGGGTTTAACATTCCCCCCCCCCAAATTAAAAATCGAATCGATGTACACATGAAATAATTAAACGTAACGCGTTATAAATATATAGGCATAACGACAATATTTGTATACCTAACTACTAATTAACACTGTTGTTCGCGTGGTGCGTGCATAGTATGATCCATTGTACCGATGAATCTGACGTCTAAACGCATGATGTTTTATGTCGAGCTGAAGTGGGGTTTTGACGTAATACATATTTTAAGCTTTGAACTACAGTACGATAAAAAAATATTATGACGTTACTGTATCTTGTAATAATAACAATGAAAGTATTATATTCTTAAAGTTAAGATAACTAAAAATATATTTTTGTTATTATAGTGATCAGTAATATAGATAAAAAGCAGAAAAAACGATTGTTTAACAAATAAACAATCAACGTCGAACGTTTACGTCAAAATATTAAAATATAATCTGAAAAAAAAAATGGTCTACAATGCATATAGATTTTAGCAAGAAAAATTATCGTGTTATAAACAATTAATCAATAGTATTTACTAACAATGAAACAATGAAAACATTATTGGAAAAAGTTCAAAATACCTCGGCTTTCTCGGGAGGTGGATGTTTTAAGCGTAAGACAATCCTTTGTAGTTTTGCACCCTAGTTAATTTAATGGTATTGCGCCTATGCGACTGTTATTTCTACAGCCAAACGTACGCCAATTCTTTGTTTTCATTATCGATATATTATTTGTCTCTTAGATTTATTATGCGTTATAATTACATAAAACCGATTTATAAAACCAATTATCTTATTAAAAACAGACTTATAAATTATTTAGAAGAGAATAATTTATTGCCTGTCTCACGACACGGTGTTAGAAAAGGTCTTGGGGCAAATAACGTTTTGGAAAATCTTACCAAAGAAATATACGATAATCTTGATAAGCACAGCCAAACCATGGGCATATTTTTAGATCTTAGTAAATCCTTTAATAGTATATCACATGCAATTCTGTTAAAAAACTTAAAAAATTACTTTGGCATAACTGTGAAAGCTTACTGTACTTATAATAAATCTTATTTAAAAGGCATGTTTTAACAGGTCGCAAGAGGAAGTACACTCAGCAACATACATTAGATTTAAAAAGGTGTTTTCTCAGGGTACAGTTCTATCTTCAAATATTTACATAATGGATGTGTGTATTTCCAGCTGAACGGAAACATACACTCTTATACTGACGATACTGCCATTGTACGTAATATTCGACACTACCTGGCAATCGATTCAGAATAAAACAAAATCAGATAATATTTTTCTGGATGACGGGTTTTTCAGTAATAATTTAATAATTAATTATAATTAATCGAAATTGATTGCATTTTCAAATGACTTAAGAATTGCACCACAGAAAAACTCCACATTTAAAAAGGTATAACCCTTTACTTTTGATTCGAAAATAGGTTGACGTATCACTTATCGTCAGTTTACATAATTACTGAAAGAAGTGTACAACCCATTAGTGACACCATTATTTAGACAAATGAACTGTGCAAGTACGTTTGAGCATTTACGAAAAAGTACGTGCTCGGGTATGTGTGTGTGTCGGTATAGATCAAATATGTATTTGTATACATACACGGATTAACACGCTCACGTTACACCCCAAGATATCTTTTTCGAAGCTCACGAGGACCAGGAAAACGATATTTACTCTATTCCCTATTGCTATAACTTATATTGCCGTAACCTTGTAAGCTCGTAAGATTTGTAACATTCTAGTCGAAACAACTGAATTAAAATTAATTAAAAATAAATAAATTCATACATTTAATAGAGTACTGAATTTACGCTCCATGGGTATTGAGGTAATGGTTATTATTATATATATATATATATATATATACATACATATTTAGTTAAATTATCTAATTAAAGTTTTGATATGGACCCTTTCTCTTTCTAGGCTAGTGGTTTTCAATTAGTATGAAACTATAAGGTAATTTAAATTTAAATCGGGCCGGGGACGTATTTTTTAGCTTATGAAAAAAAATATTATTATTTTGATTTTTTTTTTACCTGTACACGCCTTTTGGTAATATTAATAATTCAAAGACGTTTATTGAAAGTATTTCATTTTATGTGAAATACTATATCTATCATATTTAGGTAACGTTTAATTACAAGTTACTAAAATATAAGTAATTTAAATAACTTACCAACTTTGTAAGACGAATGAAATCCTTACCTTTTTGTTAATCTCATCCAAGCCTGGCTTCATGCTTAACGTTTTCACTTCGAACACAACCCCGGACCGCTTATTAAAAACCACCGATTTAGGCTTCAACTACAACGCAGTCTCCTGTCACAACAATGGTGCGAAACAAACGAACGTAAAATTGTACGAATATTATGTATAAATATATTCATTACATGTTATTTCCAGGGCTTAAGTGCACAATTTTTTTGGGGCCTCCCAAGTCAAAAAATTTTTCAGAAAAATCATCATAGAGTGGGGGGGAATGTTGATAATAAAAAAATATTTATATGTTAAAAGCATGATTTAAGATAATTATCTTAAATCATGGTTAAAAGTGTAAAATACTTACTTATCATAAAATTTATAAAATTTCCAAGTCAAATTAAATATAAATCAGTGGTTCTAAAAATGGTAATTGTGTGAACGAAATACTCATAGCGTCACCAACAATCTAAATTCTAATCTCTTTTCTATGGTCACCAACGACGGGTAAACCTGTAAATACTGGGCTTGAATAAATCTATAAATAGTTATTAGGTATCAAGTATTTCCGATGTTCAAACAATTTTTAATTATTATTATTTTAATATTTTGTGATGGGAACTGATAGAACTGGGGCGTGGAATGACAAAAATAACCAAAATTTAACTGACAATTTAATGATAAAAATATATTGAACTCTAAACATCGACAGTTGGTATTATATTTTACAAAATTAATGTTTGTGGAATTAATTTAAAAATATAATTTTCTACAACTTACGGAGACAGGGAGGCCCCAGAAATTGGGGGGGGGGGGCAATTGCAAGTGCTCCATCTGCACTTGCGTAAATCAGGGCCTGGTTATTGCTTATGAAAATACGTTTAACGACAACATAGTGGGTAATATAATATGCGTGATCGTTTTTAGATATTTTTGTGTTCGGCGCGCTCATATATATGAATGGTATAGAAAGATAATAACAGCTAGTCACTTGTTAACGAAAAAGTTAGTTGATATAGTACCAGCTCATCCTATCGTACCAACAAAATGTACAGTGCGCATTGAAAAGTATGTAACAGTATCCACTATTGACTTTAAGAAAAAACAGTATTTATAAAATGCATCAGCATACCAGATTTCGATGATTCATTCCGTTTTATTATTGTATTATATTTCTAATCAATGGTTATTTTATATCGTTTTTTTTCAACAGCTTTGGACATATTCTACAATATGCGTATTATATATATTCAACACCGTTAGTCGCTGTTTGCAATCTGGTATTCCAATAAATTGATATCAGTTCACAGAGATCCAATGATTCCAAATATTATGTTGTCATAAATTACGTGAAAAAAATTATGAAAATATAATAATTTTTTGTTTACTAAGTTATATATTAGCCGTTAATATGTGATAAATCTTTTCCTTTGGAGTGAAAGAACAAAGAATTGAGAACGCCAAAAATATCACTGAAGGGAGGGAGGGATTGTGTCCCTGAATACGCCAATGCACGAAAATCATTTCATTTAGGTATTAAAAACTTTATTTATTTAACAATCATTATAGAGTGTCTGTTAATAACTATCCTAATCAGTAGACACATAGTAAAAATAACGAATCTGAGTCACAGTAAACAAAACTCTCCTTAAAGACAAGTAAAACAATTGATTATAAATAGTTTTCACAAACCGTATCAATAACATAAATTTTTAATTGCAATTAGTTTTATAAAAAAAATATTATAGATTAAAAATATAAAGGTTTATTTATTTTTATTTTTATTATTTCAGTTCAACATAATATGTTAAAATAATACAATTTCACAAAACTATGCATTATTTAGTCTTAACTGTTCAATAGTTTAAAAATTACAAAACCTATTATAATATTCAATATAAAATTAATTTAACTAATTTTTTTTACAAGTTACCCATCATTTTCAAATTTTAAATATGTATGGAAATAAATCTTCTAACCAAAATAATTGTTTAATACATTTCAGACATTTTTAATTAGCCAATTAATTTAGTTAGAATATAACAATATTGAATAATATCAATTTACAATATACTATTAATATTCATATATTACATGGGAAATTAAAATTCTTCTATTAGTTTACAAAAATATATTCAATAACTTAGAGCTTTTAGAAGCTCAAGAATAAAAAAAAAAAATAGTAATAAAAAAAAAAAAAACAATATTTCTTCACAAGGTTTTGTTCCTTTTAGAAATAATAATAGAAAAAACAAAATGAAGTACTACTTATAAGTAAAAACATTTTTCTATTACATTAATATTTAAAAGTTCTTTAAATACAACATAATTTATTGTAATGAACGTTTTTCATTATTAGAAGGCCTAAGAGGTATTGTTGCAGAAACAGCATCAGGAAATCTTTGATGATAACGCTCCAAACGTAAAAATTTAACAGTAACTAATTTGCCTAAAACAAAAAAAAAAATTTTATGTTAAAATTATCAAAATCATAAGATAAAGCATTATTGAAATATAATATAATAATTAAATATAATACATACCATCATACCAAAATCCATGTAACTGTCTATAAGCTTTTCCTGCTTCAGCAGGAGAAGCACACTTAACATAAACACATCCTTCTAGACTGTTACCATCAACTGAAAGATGTAGAACCTCAACACCATCGCATTTTTCTAAAATGGCATCTTTAACACGTGTTATACAATCAGTTCCAATCAAACTGTGACAAAATGAACAAAATATTTACTAATAATATGTACCATTTTAAATAAAAAGCATAAGGTCAGATGTACAAATAATGAACTTACGAATCTGGTCCGAACATGTGACGGATTTTCAGACAGGAAGTAGGACTTGGTTGAGGAGAATTCATACTACCTTCATTAGTTTCAAATGCTTGACCTTGCCAAACTTTTTTCCTAAAATAATATAATAATAAAAACATTGGTATAATAAATAAGTTAAAATGCATGACAATGTATGTGTTAATTATATAAATACTATACATTTTTAAAAACTTAATTTTATTATATCTTTATATTAAATGTTAACTTTAATTTATAAATGGCTTTTATAATAACAAATATAAATTAAAACTATAAATCAAAACCATACGCAACTATGCAATTTACATGGATTTCATAGAATTAATTTGTTTTAGTGAGCTAAAAAAATATAATAATAAATTTATAAATAATATTAAAAATGTAATATTAGTTAATACCTTCATCAAGCGGACACTTAAAAATGGTAAAAAATTAAGTACCTAAAAAAAAAAAAAAGAGGAAAAATATCTAAATTAATTATTATTTAATACCTTATTGATCTAGTTGGGACCCAGACAATATAACAAAAAAAATGTATGAATTACAGATGACTATTTTCACTATGATGACAAATCATAAATATCTAAGTTAAATATAAAAAGAAAAGAAAAAAATTAAAATAAGCAAAACTACTTTGGAAGAAAGATTTATATCCTGCATAATTTATGATATCTACCTTATAAAAAATAAAAACATGCTCTTTGAACAGTTGTAATAACAAATTGATTACCAAACAAAAAACATGTTATACTTTTTAATATCAAAAAATGTATAAGGGTAATTTAAACTAAACAAATCAAGATTCATATTTTATTAACTAAGAATTAAAATAAATTATGTATATTAATGAATTTATTTTAATTATACAGAAAATAATAATTCCTCTAACTTACAAATGTAATGAAGTCTAAATAATATTATTGGTAAAAGTAGCATCAAGTTTTTGAGTTTATAATTAAGTACTTAATTATAAGTACTTAGGCCAACATCAAATTAGATCGAATACTTTTAATAAAAATCGGCTACTTTATAATACTAAATATAAAGTATGTTAAACAGTCAATTATATAACTGTGATTTAGTAATAAATTACTCACGCTGAACCAGGTGACATAGGTTGAACCCATCTCCAAACATGAAAGTCTTCACCATCAATTTGCTGAATTCCAGATCTTACTCTTGATTCTGATTCGGTAAAGTACTGTTCAACTTCATTCCAAATTTTAGATTTAGCTAAATAATAAAATGGATTTTATGAAAAAAAATTATTTACAAATAATAATCAATCATTTAATACCTTGTCTTTCATTGAGTGGAATTAATTGATCACGTATATGTATAATTGGCAGATAACCTTCATTTGGTCTATATTGTGCTTGTTGTTTCAATAAATCAATGGTACTTTCAACTAATCGATTAACTTCTTGCCTATGTTTTTCACTTTTAGTCGTAACATAGCATATTCCAAAATAAACACTAATAATAGCCAAAGCCACTAAAAAAAAAAAAAAAATAGATTTAATTTTTTTTTATTCAACATGAGAAATGAGTTAGATCACAGACAACGCATAGAGCATTCAATTTTCAATCATTTTGAGGCCGCGACGCTCTATAATGTCACCAAGATTTTGAGTGACCATTTTATTATAACATTAAAAAGTAATGATAAATTAATATAATTATTATGATTAATATAACGATTTTATTGACGATTCTAAACTTTTATTAATTATAATTAATAACAATGTACATTATGATGATATTTACTAAAACACCATACTAATGAAAATCGCTGGCATAGAGAATACTCTAAAATGTGTGTATCTATTTATTAAAACTGTATCCTATATGCATATTTATAAAGTACAATTTGTATAAAAAGCACATGAATGACAATATTTGTTTTTTGTTTTTACTTTTATGTCAAAGAATTGAATGCTTATTCGATAATGTTCCCACAAGAATGTATTTATAAGTGTTAGATAAATATTGCATTGATGAGAAACAAACTTTAAACATTGTAAATGATCTAAGAAAATAGGTATATAAATTGAGCGTTGACATAAAAATTATTCTTTTTAATAAAATAAAATTATATCAATTAGCTTAAAATATTTGAGGTTTATTTACCAACTCCAAGCCATAAAACAAGATAGAACATGTTGGCGAAAATATTTTTAACAGCACAGAAAATTGGTAAATTTGGTTGCACGTTTATATTAAATGCATTATCATCAAATCCAATGGGCGAATCAGAATAAGTTTTTGCAATATTCATAAATAGTCCAATTAGTTCTTCGATATCTCTAGATGGCATATTTTCATGGGTAGAAATATATTCAAACACAGTTTTTGCTTCCATAATTGGTTTTATATCTGAATTTTCACATTGGTTCTTTATAAATTTATCTTGAACTTCTGATATCAAAAAGTTATATAATAGTTGAGTTTTTTCTTGTTCTGCATTACAATCTAATGTTTCTAGATTTTTAACAGCACACAATGTATTCAAAACACCTGGAAATTAGTACAAATTATTAATAATATAAATTTATTTTATTTTTTAAATTATCAACTATGAAAGGACTAATTTATATCATATTATCTGATACATAAAGAACTAACAGTAATATAAGATGTTAATTGTTATTTATAATTATTATTTTAAGTTGTCTAATACAACATATTTTTAAATAGTTTGATATATAGTTTTAAATAATTGATATTACATTTGATTAGTATATATTATTGTATTATATACATTATTACATTTTTCTTTTCATCAAGTGTAATAATTCTCAAAATTGTAAGTAATAGTATAGATAAGATATTATTTTTCTTTAATGATTTGAACAGAAACTTTATTATTAATTTTGTTAATATAATATCATATAATACAATTTTTCTACAGTTTAAAACATTTATTAAAAGAATAATATGATGGTGATAATCTAACTATGAATTTAAATTTTAAATATAATAATAAAAAGAAAATAAATTAATAAATATTTCATAAAATAATTAAAAATTAAAACAGTAATAGATTAATAATTATACTCATTAATATATAAATAAATAGTTTATAAATAATTGTTTAGTCTAGCATATTATTATATTTGTAACGTACGACTGGTTTCCAATTAAAAATTTGTCAAGTACATACAAAATCAATGAAATCACGATTGAATATGAAAAAATAAAGGAAGGAGAAAATTTGGTAATTTTACATAAAGATAATTAATTTCAATAGGATAAATTATTTAAAATGTATTAATATAAGATATTTCTAAGTCTGTATTAAAATTAAAATATATATTATGGTAATTATCTAAAACATGATTAGCAAAATTTGAATTAGGGTTAGTCTATCTTAATTTTATTTCAGATAAGTATTCTTTATATCTTATTTTAAATCTTTCTATTTGTCTTACATATATAAAATTTATTACAATTAAGTATATTTATATACCAGTATTTTCAATAGAAGAGGGATTTTATTTAAATGTCTTATTTGATTATTAGTAGTTTTAAAGGTGTTTTTTACATTATTAGTATTATTGTTTAGAATTTCAGCAAATTTATCAGATATATTACTTAAAACAACCAATTTTTCTCAATGTATTCCTTCCTTTTTTTTCATATTCAATCGCGATTTTAATGATTTGGTGTATATAGGACGATGAATTTTTAATTCAAAGCTGGTTATTTTTTACAAATATAATAATACACCAGGTTGAGCATTTATTTATTTATTTCTATACATAAAATATTTGTTTGTATATTAATTTCAAAAATTATGATTTCAAAAAAACAAAGTTATAATTTGTAAATATATTATTACCTGAAGGTAATACAAATGTACTTGATTGTATTGAAGTAAAGTATAATCCAAAAATGACTACAAAAAATCCAACAAAAAGTAATATGATATATTGAGTATTTCTTGTATAGCTAGTTCCTTGGTGTCTTTGTGGTGTTGGTTGAACATATCTCCTGTAATAAATATAATTTTAACTAACTATTTTCTTAATTATTTTTCAATTATTTTAGCAAACCTTGAATTTTGAGAATAAATTGATAAAACAGGCGATTGAAAATCAAATTGTGAAGTATTTGTCACATCAGAGTTATCTGTTAAATATATATAAAATGCAATGATATAATTAATTAATGAATATGAAATATAATAAAGCTTTTAATGTCATTAATATCCTTATTGATAAATTTAAATGTTAATTAATTTAAATTTATAAGATTTGATAGTAGTTTAATATATATATAACTTAAGAAACTATAAATATTAATAGACAAAATATTATAAATAAACAATAGATTTTTTTTATTAATTATAACATAAAAATTTATAAAAAATAAATATTTGAATCTTACATGAAATAACTCATTTCCAACGAAATTAAAATAGAATAGTTTCTAATATTTTAATTAATATCAGTGATTGTTTCCAACTTTATCCTTACAAGACAAAAATATATTTTCTTCTAATATTAATAAAAGTCACAATTATGTAATCATAATAAAAATCTAACCCAAATATAAACTTGGTTTAGTTGGGAATCAATGATCACAATAGGTTAAGTTACCAAGAAAAGAAAAAAATGAATGAAGTGATTTATGAATTAGATAATTATTACCAAAAAAATTTTAGGACCAGAGTATTATACTTAATTTACTTTGTGATTGATCCATCATTTTTTTTCTCCACCTTTGTATAGCCTTATCAGCGTTTGGAGTTTCAGTAAGAGGATCCGACCGAGGTCTTCGAATGACAGGTTCTCTCGAAGTTATGTTTATACTGGAGTCAAGGAGCCTAGGCGTTTTAATTTCAGTCTGTATTTCAGGTAATTTGTTAAGAAACTTTTTGGAGTCTGTAAAGTAATTCAATGTTGTTAAAACTTGGTGGATAGTGTAGAGTTTCTAAAAAGATTAGTAAAATATTTAAGATATCAGAATATTGTTTGAAACGAAATGCATAGCTATAATATAGTAACCTGGTAACAAATAAGAGTTTTGATCTTCGTCTTCACTGGCAGAATTATTCCAATTTGAAACGTTTAACAAAGAGCTGTTATCTTTAACGGACGAGCCAACCTGGTTCATTTGCACATTTGCATCATGTTCGAGTTTTGCGAGTTTTTTCAGCAACAATCCTCTGGTGGAATTGGTGACTGGAGGGACCACGGTGTTGAACACGGACAAACGATGCCGCAGTTCTTGGTCGGTCAAGTGTTCGCCCATCGTACGTCTGCAAATCAGAACTGGTCGTGAAAAACGACGCCGGGATCGAGAGGTTTAAATATGGGTGTATAGTAATAATAGTGTAATAATAATGGCCTGGGCTATTCGAACCGGATTCCGATCGTTCAGCGGACGATTTCACTCACGTTTATCCGGCGTTCGGTTGGACGAGTGTTGCGCGGGAGACGAACGAATCCGGTCGGCACTTGTTCCAGCACATCAAAGACGATTCGAAAATTTTACGTGATCCAGACGACCGTAGGACCAGGGAAAAACGTCGCGCGTTACAGCACCAGCGGTAACGGTCGCGGTCTGCGGCGAAAATTTATTGTGATTGGGTTTAACCTACAAGATCAATTACCGTCGAAAATTCCGTTACTTTTAATCAGCAACCTTGGTCCGTGCACCGCGTTACCGACGTATAGACCCTGTGCTGCACGAGCTGTCGGTTTCGCACGCGGTCCGCGGGGACGGGCGGTACAGTCACGCCGAACGCAGTGATAACGTTTCTCCCCCCCCCCCCCCCCCCGTTGTGAAATTATAAAAATTTTAACGCGACGTACAATACACCATCTTGCAGTAATGTCGTGCACGGTACCACAGGTGCGTACAATAATGCACTACAATATACTATACGTATTCGTGCGGTGTACCCGTAATCATTGGTGCCACATGGTTTGACCGCGATAACTACTACGACACGACTCGTCCAAGGTTACCGGTGGCACGGCTTATTCGTCGCGCACAGGTACACGCGTAGACGGGCACTTGCACCCGCCACGAACCCGTTGATTAGCGTACATGGACCGCGGTATGCGGCATCGTGACCGTTTATCTTTTCTTCTTTTTTTTTGATATTATGATAAGACCAATACCATGGTTGATGATAACATTTATTATCACAAAAATTGAAAATTTAAATTTAATGGAGGCAGAATCGAATTATATCGTTTTCCGTCAGAGACAAAATGATATGTTTAAAGAAAAACCGAATCGTTTCATTTCACCTCGCAGCAGGGGCGGACTGTGTATCGAGGGGCCAGGAGGGGAGAGCATCAACTGGACCTATTATTATTACATTTGAATTAATACTATGAAAGATATAACAGGATACCTAGACAAGGGTACGTGCCTGTGTTTGGGAAAGTTAGCCGTTAAAACGTTGCTTCGGGTACACCACGTAAAGTTTTTTCCTTATATCCGTGTGGGATGGAACAGACAATGAAATATATTCTGCAATGCTTAATCTGTCTTTAGTCGTACACACAAGATGATGTTGTGAAGCAAATAACAACGCCAAAGACGTAGCTAGTTTTTGGGCTGAAACCATATGAACCAGAAAACGACATTATAATTTAATATTACATTTTGTATATGGGTACAGTGACGGTGCTAGAATTTGCGAGGCCTTGGACAAAATTAATGTTGGGTCTTATAATTTATATTAATAATATATTTTAAGTTCAGTTAAATCAGAACCGCGGGGCCTTAATTATAATTTAAGTCGCGGGGCCCTAGGAAACTGCTCCTATTTCCCACCCCCTCGCGTCGTCCCTGTATGGGTAATTAATATAACACTATCGAGGGCCTAGGAGGCGATCGCCCCTTTACCTCCCTGGCCAGTTCGCTCCTGCCTCACAATTCTAAGTCACCTCGATTGATGGTATGTAACTTATAAATATTTTTGTAACAACAAGTTAATATTATATTTTATGAATTTCAGTATACTTATCATGACTTCAACCATTTTTATAATTTTTTATTGGTTACCAAAATAACAATTTATAAAATATCAATTTGGAAAATAATAATTTTAAAGGAACATTTGGAAATATTTATTTAATTTTAATACGAACCTTGAGTTTGTTTGCTTGAATTAAATTTTTTTTAAATCTGGCTCCACACATGATAAATAAACCCGTAAGTTTGAACTTACAGTCTATTATGGTATTTATTTCTTATGAACATGTATGAAAAAAAGGCCCTTTCCACAAATACAATGCTTGTGAATAGTAACAGGACAATGAATGCTTTTCATAATAGCTCAGGATATTCTTCTTTCGCATCAGCCTAAAAGGCGATAATAGATTTTTTTTCAAATGATGCCTCAAGTGAAAAACCGTTTTCAGTTCTATTAGTTTTTCTTTTTCTCAGACTGATAAAACTGCAGATATGAAAAAGTTTTCACTGAATGGGAATGCGATCCAGTGGTCGTCTTTTCCACATTTAGGAGAATATTCTTCAAAAGCTACGAGCCCATTCAAATGTTGAATAACTTATTTTTTTTTTGTCTTATGATAGGATCATATCAGTGTCACAGAGAAAATTGTGTAGTGTTTCCACAATTTCTGTTTGATCATTCTCAATACACGACTTCTAAAACTTTTTAACAAAAAATACTACTTTGTCAGTATTATAACGATAAAATGTTATCGCATTCATAACATTAAATTGCAGGCATTATATTAAAATAACTTATTACAATATAATGTAGAACGATCTTTTTCAACATATAAAACGTTGTTAGCAAATAACCGGCATTCGTTTCAAGTTGAAAGTATAAAGAAATACCTTGTCGTTCAATGTTATAGTAAAGGTAGGTAGTACAAAATTTAGTTAACTTAGTACATATTCGAGATACAAATTCATTTTTAAAATACCTTTTTATTCGTATATTTCCAGATGAAGGAGATGAAAACGAACAGAAAAAACAAAAAGATCAAGAAGACGACGAAGAAATGTAATTTTTAAATACTTTTTAATAAACTAACCATAAAGTAATTTTTACTAATTTTTTTTAAAATAAATATTATAATAAGATAAAATAATAAAATAAAATAATTTTTTTAGGGTATATTTTAAGCGCATAAGTGCATACATATTATCAGATTTTTAAGTACTAGAAGTCCTCAGCCCTAGTAATAAGTAATTAAATATTTCATTAATAGCAAACTATTTAAGTTACATTAAATTTCACTTTTTTCGTCATTCCTATATATTTTTCGCATACGTACCCCAGGTTGAGAACAGCTGTTCTATGACTTACAGCGATAGCATGACTATAAATAAATATTTAATTAAGTTATTTTAAACTGCAAAACCTTTGAATGGTTATTGAATAGATAAGCTTTTCTGAAGATGAATAAAATTTATATTACAATATAGGAATGATTTAATAATAGTTGTTATCGATTTATTTACACGGACAAGTTTTCTTAGTAATTAAATAAATATTTGAGTCATTGAACAGCAAAATTGAATTGAATAATCCGGATATGCCCATTATTAATTGGAACTCAATGGGCCGGAAGCGCGGCAGGAGCGTTTAAAAACAGGAATGTACCACTGATTGTACATATACGTTAAATATAGATGATAAAAATTTATTAATATTGTAAGAGGCAAATTTGAATTTTAAACAATTCGATATCAATTATAAAATGACATGACTATTAAACAAAACCAATCATAGTATGAATACAAAATAAGTTTTCTAGTTATTCCTACTGAACTACTGAAGTTTGTGGTCAAGACCGGTCCAAGCGAAAACAGCTGTTTTCTGTTTTATATTAACTAGTGCACTAGGCAAAATAAAATTTTGCCGCTTTAAAAAAAAAAATTGGGCTCATATTTTAACTTAGCACCTCCCCCTATTTTTATGTGACATATCTATAGAAAAAAAAGTGAGCCGTCGCGGGACGCCTGGCAGATGTGAAACATCAAAAATTTTTTTTTGTAATAATGTTGAAAATAGATGGTGAATAAGATGACTATGAAATAATTTCTAAATTAATATCATAAGACTATTTTGTTTTTTATTTGCATATGAAATTTTTATTTACAAATGTAATAATGTAACTACTCTAATCAATATTATCTGTTGCTTCGTCAGTTATTTCTGTGACAGTAGCAATTGATGCTTCTAATGGTACAATTGCTGGTATCAATGTAACAATTAGACGATGATAACTGAAATATGCAACAAAAGTATGTGACATAACGTTATCAAGGTACCTTGTGAATACTCCATCTATAGCAGTTCCATATCTGGTTGTTGCTTCTCTTGGATCGTTAATATGCAAACTAAATTTTTCTTAAAGAAATATAATTGATTGTAATGAATTGTCTCTTGCGAAATTTACATTAAAATCTCCTGCTAAAAGTAATGGTAATTTATCCAAATTATCTTTCAAAAGCATCGATCCTTCGTGACTATATGGAAGTAATCGCAAATGTAAAAATGCAATGATATCGTTAATTTTTTGATTGGGTGAAATGTATACAATGACCATGAGAAATTCTCTTCCGTCATCCATAACAATTTGAGAAGCACACAGGTCACCTACAGGTGCTTGACACACGTTAATTTCTGTAGCATTTTGTACCATAAGATCTATATTAGTGGTCGAAACGTGAGAAATATTCGAGCTCTGATATAAGGCAACTCCAGCGGCTCTAACATTTTTTTGTTTAAAGTGAGCAATACAATTAAAATTTGGCAGTATATATAAATAATATATTATAATATATTTATATCATATATAATATAATATATTTAATATATTTAATATATCGATATAGAATTATTAAACAAAAGTATTTTTTCAACACGCACATGTACATCGCGTTTTATTTTACGCGATTGCCCATGACGTGTTAGATGTTTCTAACAATAAATTTTTATATAATTCCATTGAAAAATGAATTCTATTTTTTCACAAATTATATTTATAACATTTTAAACTGGCCTTAATAATATCTACTAATCAAATTTTTAGTATAACCGCTTCAACAATAACAAGCATCCATTTAGATTTTAGATCATTGAGTTAAGTTACTATCTATAGCACCACGATAAGCACCTGTCGAATACCACTTATCACATTTCGTTGACTAACCATATTAAGTTATAAACATAATTTATAACTAATATTTATTAATCTAATTAGTATTTTACTTCTTTACTATCTTGTAATATAAAGACGAAGTTATACAGAGATCATTCTTATTAAAATAAACAAACTAACCTTTGGCTCGAATCAGTAAATTGTGAATCGGGATAAACATCAAAAGCACATGACGGAGACATTTCACTCCGACCTGCATTTTGGTTAACTTGAAATTTAATTATTTTTTCTGGTGACTGTGCACTGTCTCGTTCCATTATATTTGTAATATTTTCACTGTCACTGTCACTCATATTTCATTAGAAAATATATATCGTCAGTGGCGTATTTTCAATTTTTTCTGGGGGGTCCACAGTTTATACATAATTAATATAAACTATATATTATATTGTAATAGTTACGTCCTTATACAGTTTTTGGAGGAAGTTGAACTAAATATATCATGTAATAATCGTATAGTCTTATGTTATATTATATATATGTATCTATATATTGTATTTAGCATTATATATTATAAAGTATTGTTATAAAATAAATTCCAGGTGTCTCGATTTTTTGGCCAACTCCTCTATCACTTCATCAACAGTAATTTCAACTTCCCTGTGAATGTTTAACATACCCAATTCTGCAAATATGTAAGAATTGTTGTTAATTTTTATTTTTTGGAGAGGTTCTGGGGGGGTCCAGTACCTCTGGACCCCTCCCCCCCCCGTAAATACGCCACTGTATATCGTTATTACAACGGTCCGTTAAAAACAACATAATATACAATATACATACACGTAACAATATAATCAACGTAATATACAATCAATTTATTTATACGCAACAATATAGGTGTACATATTATAC